TAGATGGTTGTCTCCCTCACATATGATTAAAATGAGACAAGGAGAAGAAAAAAAGGAAATAATAACAACAAAGAAGGAAAGTGTGTGAAAGGAGTAGAAGGAAAGACATAAGTCTAATAAAGGAAGTTGTAGGAGTATCATAATGAAGAGGTGGAGGAGGAATACTGCAACCCCTACATTCTTCTTTCTCYTCTTCTCCCTTTTCTTCCACACCACAATCTTTTCTTCTTCCTCCTTTGGTTTGTCTCTTATTGCTGTAAATTCTATCAGCTGAATAGAATTAGCCAACAAAGAGGCATTAACCCCTTCTCCTTGTAGGAGGGGGGTTTATATAGAGGAGGGAGGTGGTTAAGTAACTTCCCACTCCTCTCTTCTTAGAGTGCGAAGTGCCACCCCACTTAAAAATGGGTTAAGGAGGGAAAATAAAACTCTTCCTTCCTAAGGTGACAAGTGTCCCCCCCACTTAAAGTGGGTAAAGGAGGGAGAAGAAAACTCTCTCCCCTAGGATGACATGTGTCCCCCCACTTCAAGTGGTTAAAGGAGGGAAAATAAATCCTTTTTCCTAGGGTGACATGTGTCCACCCATTTAAAGTGGTTAGAGGAGGCAAAATAACTCTCTCCCCTAGGGTGACATGTGTTCCCCCACTTCAAGTGGTTAAATGAGGAAAAATAGCCTTCTTGTTAGAATAGGACAAGTGGCATCCCCTTATAAATAAATGGGACACCTCACAATTAATTAATTAATGTGGATTTATTTTTTTAGGGCTTGTTGTTCCATTAAATGGGCTTTACTGCAGGCCCATTAAATGCTTATTGCATTACAAACAAGCCCAATTAACTTGAGGCCTGTTGTTCATTAAACTAGACTACAGGCCCCTTTCTTTATTAAAATGTTTCAGCCCACCAATAGGACTGACTGGGCTTATAAGAAAGCCCTTTTTCTTCTTTATTATTATTTTTTTAAGCTGTGTCTGGGAGTATCTTAATAACCTGTTCCCAATCCAACAAACTCAAGGACTTAACACACGTGTACTCCAAGTTCTTCAGACCAAGGGTTTTGTTTCTAAAATGTTGATGTGAGAACTACTAGGGGTATTTTTGAAATAAGAAACCCTGAACCCATGCCCTTTCACATTTCCACTTGTTTTAAAAGGTCATTTGACCATTTCTATATGAAATATAAATAGTTCCTTATAGAAGGTCAAATAAGTTAAGGGGTTGCACACTATATGGATGTTTTAATAATATGCAAACTAGAGGATAGGTTTTAGTAAATACGTGAAACTATAGGGGGTGTCTAAGTAAATGAACCTAAAATAGAAGATTATTAAAAGAAAAAAAAAGTGGATGTGTACAAGGAATATACAGGCTTTGTGGCCCAAGTGCCTTACATAGAGCACCCATAAATTCCATTAACACTACAGTAGGAARGAGCTAAAGGACATAAAAAATCAGAGAAACAGAGTAAAAACATAAAACAGAAGACTGAAAACAGCACTTGTCATGGATGATCCCTAATTTCTGGTCTTTCCCCTCTAGT